TTCTTAGTGCTGTGCTTTAACCTGCTGTGCCACCAGGGAGGGCAGAAGCATTGCTTTTTTCATATTCATTCAACAGATATTTATTGAGTCCTTATTATGTTCCAGGCACTATTCTAGGCAGTGGAGATAACACAGTGGGTTAGTGAGTACAGACAGATCCTGTTGTCTTAGAGCTTACATTCTAGTGGGAAAAATAATTCTAGTAGGAAAATACTGACTTCCAGTGTCCTCCTGCTGTCCACAGATGCTGTCATTGCCATCAGTCGCAGGACATCACTGTCACCAGATGAATTGGTTTAGGGAGTGATCCCAAGAGGACTGGGGAGAAGGCAGAAGAATAACACAATGAGGGGCTGGATGAGATTTGTCAGAAACTCTTGATGGAGATGTTTCCAGGGAGGGACCTTTATCCACTGGAACCACTTTTAACATCTCCTTCTTTGTGACTCAAAACATGTACGAATTTTCCAGGGCTTGTGAATTCGGACCCATCTTTCAGGACCCTGGCTCTTCATGCCTTCTTCGAGGCTGCGAAATTGCAAGTGGAGCACAGTAGCAGCTGTAGGGGCAGCCGTTGCTTCCAGTCCTAACTCAAAGCCAATGCCCCGGGCTCAATCTTCACTTCCTGGAAAGATCTAGTTTGTTACTGCATATTTGACTTGTCTGGTGGGAGAAGTTTTAAAAGTCAGTAGTGTTTGAACTGTTGATTATTTGGACCATTTATTTATTTTTAACTTGGGCTCGCTAATTCTCTCCACACTGTCTCAAGGGGAGACTCCAACGTGCAACAACTATGCCCTTCATACAGTGCTGGCTTACTCGTGCTCACGCTGATAAAACACCCACGGCGGGCGACTCTGGCGACTCCCGCTCTGATCACCCCACCTCTTCCTCTAATGCTCACAGGAAGATCTTCGCATTGACTGCTGTCCCATAGTGCAGTAGGAATGGATATCACAGCGGAAAGAATGTAGCCCTGATCATTAACGACTGTTTTGTTTTTAAGAATGAAGTTGGGGAGGAACAGGCACACAATAGGAAATACAAAACTCACTACAGCTGGAGTATAAAGCCGGGGCTGTGAATTTCTAACGAAGTAGGAAGGAGGGAGAACCAACAGCAACTTTAAACACAATATGAGGACTGTGGAGGACCCAGCGGGAGCTCATTTCCTCTGCACATTTTGGCTATTAGACCTGTGCGTGTCTAAAAGGAAAAAAACTCAGTGTTCAATTTTTGCATTTAAACGTGATTCTAGCTGGAAAAAAATTTTTTTTTCAGAGAGCGAAAAGTGCTATGAGAAAAACCAGAGCAAGGTAAGCAGACAGAGCGTCTGAGCCAGGGTCTCTGACAGCACAGCTCAGAACTGCCGCTCCTCAACCCGGGGACACGCCCTGGGTGCACAGAGGAATGGAGGTGCGCGAGGCGGTGTTAATCGCGGCAAGGGTCACCTGAGCCCCACCTTGGGGGGCGGGGCATGGGGTGGGGCCTCAGTTGCTCTCAGCTGCCCCAGAGGCGCGCTCGCTCCTGGGAAAGGCGCGCCGGTGCGGGGCCGCCAGGTGCAGTCGCGGCCCGAGAGCACCTCCCCGCCGCGCGGTCCGTGGGGGCGTGGCCGGACGAGGCCCCGCCCTCCTGGCCGTCCATAAATGCGCCGGGCGGGGCGCACCGGGAGTTCGGAGCGCGACTTTCAGGGGGCGGCTGAGGGTCCGTGCGGGTGGCTTCTTGTTGGCTTCCGCGCCTAGATCGGGGCGGGCTCGGAGCTCCAGCCATGCTGTTCTGGCACACGCAGCCGGAGCACTACAACCAGCACAATTCCGGCAGCTACCTGCGGTAAGGCCGCGCCGCCCCGGCCCGACAAGCGCAGCCCGCGGCTCGGGCCGGGGTCGGAGGGTGACGCGCTAGCTGCCGTCCGGGGCGGGGAGGGGGAGCTTAGGGCCCAGGAGCCCGACTCCCTAGTCTCCTGGCTGTCTGGTATTATTCGGGTTCTGAGATCGAGTCCCGCCCTGAATACCAGCGGGGACGGAGGATGCACCACCCAGGAACCCGACGCGCGCGGATTTGGAGGCGCGCCGGGGAGACCGAGGCGGTACCCATAAGGGCTCCTCCCTAAACGACCCACGGCGATCGCAGCTCACACCTGCTTACCTCTCCTTCCCGGGTTTCTGACCACCCAAGCCTCTCCTCTTCGGACTAGTGTCGGAGAAGGGGAGGAAACTTCCTGTCATCAGGGTAGTGTCTGTCCCGGGGAAGTCTAGTCCTGCTCTTTGCCCCTCTCCGCCCGGGTCCCTCTCTGAGCCTCGCGCTCTCTTCCAGTGTCCTTGGTCCACCGAGGGGCGAGCGAACGGCGAGCACGCACCTGCGCTCCCTCTTGGCGGGCGGGCCCACGGGTGGGTGTCAGTCGGAGGCTCGGGAGGGTCAGGTGTTCCCCCCTCCTTCCCAGTGGTCGTCTGTGCATTAGTCTGAGACCGCACATTTATTGCGCTTGATGGACATCTTTCTTCTTCTACAGGGATTTGACTAGTGCTCTTCAAAGGGAAAAGTAAGTTTGATTCTTGTGCAAAGTTCCTTCCCGTCTCCTTTAAGAAAGCAGGACCCCCTTTTGCTTCAGTTCCTGGAGGATTATTTTCCCAGTTCTGCAGCTAGCCGGGTACTAATGGGCAGTCGTTTCATTTTCTGAACTCGCCTGAACCAGCTTTAGCCTGTCTTTATTTCCATCCTAGTCACAGTTTATGAAATGTGTCTAATTTAACCCAAAGGGCATTTGGTACTGGCTCAGAGAAAGTGAATTGTGAACCCAAGGGAGTCACTGGCAGTGAGAGTCGCTCTGAGTATTTTTTTTTTTTTTGGGAGGGGAGACAAGAAGTTCCCACGGAGATTTAACTGCAAGTTATTTGTTTAATCCTCACTCTGATGGACGATTATTTGTCCAATAGCCCTCCCTGAAGACATCCCCCTTCCAGAAGGTAAAGGAATGATTAGGTTTAACAGATGTGCCTGCTGTTTTTTATTCTCAGGCCAGAGTAGTAGGAGATGCTATAATTAAGGACTGCTAGCCTCCCTGCAGGCCAGGGTGATGTCTAGGGAGGGAAGCTGCCCTGGGGATGTTGGAAGCCCACTGGGCAGATGCTAATCCTCTGTGGAAGATTGTATCCATTCATTTACACTGGATGCAACAATACTTTTTTGTTGAACTGTGTGTTGCAGTTTCACTTGTGGTTGTCTATAAATGTTTGTAGATTTCAATTTGTGGCCATTAAAAAGTTGCCCAATCTTAAAAGTGAGTTTGAAGGTGACCTGAGGGGAGAGTGAATGTATTTAAAACTTATGAAACAAAAACCTAAAATGTCATCCAATTAAGGAATAATTCTCCCCTTATATGGGAGGTATCGGTAGTTGAGAAGAAAATATGTGGAATACATCAGATACCTTTTAGGATGTTGGTATTGCAGTAAGGGGAGGAACCATAAAGCTGTACTGGTTTCTGGGATTATTTGGGACCATGAATAGTGTGGTCCATGCCCCTCCCCTGATTTTGTTTTTTAAACCGAAATAACAAAGGTTTACATCCCTGTGTATGTCTGCAGTAGAAGTTCAAGAAGTTCAAGTGCTTTTTTTTTTTTTTTAAATTTCACTCTTAGAAGCTATGACTTCAACCTTTAGAAGGTTGACCTCAGTGAAGGCCAAGGTTGGGAGTGGATTATACCCCATGTTCCCCAGCTTAAACCGAAATAACAAAGGTTTACATCCCTGTGTATGTCTGCAGTAGAAGTTCAAGAAGTTCAAGTACTTTTTTTTTTTTTTAAATTTCACTCTTAGAAGCTATGACTTCAACCTTTAGGAGGTTGACCTCAGTGAAGGCCAAGGTTGGGAGTGGATTATACCCCATGTTCCCCAGCTCTAAAGTATGGGTCCTGCCCTTTTCCTTGGTTTTTATATTTTATTTTTGGTTGTCTCCTTTTGCTGAACTTCTGCAAGTTGTGTGACCTTACCAGGGAAGTGGCTTTTGCTCCCTTCTTCCCTTTTTCTGTTTGATGTTCTTGTGACTTTTATTCCTTGGCAAATAAGGATGACAGGCTTGAAACAAATTACTGTTGAGTGATGGCTCTTCCCTTTCCCCCAAAACCCCCCCCCCTTTTTTTTATTTAAAATCAGGAGCCCATGGATTATTAACATGGTCTGGGCAAACATGGAATTATGCAATCCGCTGGTGAGGGGACTTGCCTGCTTCTCCCATATTCCTCGATAACCACTTGGGCTGGGAATGCCCCAGTTGGGTAAAAGGAAGCCAGGATATGTGCCTATTGGAGGTGAGAGGCAAGGCAGTTCTGCCCTCTCATCTTAGGGCAGTAATGGGGGTGTCTCTACATGGAGCTTCTCCAAGTGTTCTCCACTCCTGACTTTTCCTTCTGAGAATTGGTTAGACTTTGTTGGGGTGTGTGCTGAGTTTGTGTTGTAGGGACACTCATTTATTGTGTTGTGCAAAGAACAGATTGTACCAGTGACTGCTGTTTATTCAGTGAAGTAGGGTCAGTGAATCTGAATCATAACCTAGGACACATGGAGGGAGGAGGGTTATCAAGATAAGGACTCTGGCACTTTTTGACACCTGTTTCCTTGCTGTTCATAATTTAGAGATCTTAAACAGCTTGCAGGTCATTCATTTTCTCCAGGATGTTTTCCCCCTTGTTAGGATATTTTAAAAAAATACTAGAAATAAGTTCTTTATTCATAGGCTGATTTTTTTTTTTTTAAATATGGTAGGCCATTTTGTGTAGAGGTAGAAGATTCTTTAAACATCTCAGTGTTTTCTATTTGGATAATATTAAAAACCAGTGTCCTTCCAAGATTTTGTGTTAGGACATATTTGTATGACTTTTAAAAATTGACTCTTAAAATAGGGGCCTTGGGTAAAAAAAAAAAATTTTTTTTTTTTTTAGAAGGGGCAGGAGAATGTTTCAACTAGGGGAATGTGGCAGTTTCTGCAGTGGCAGTTTCTGCATTTGCATAGTTTGCTGAAGAACCTGAGGGCAGACTGTACTGATCTGAGAGGTAGCCCATAAATAGAAGTCTATATAAAAATTCACTTTTTGGGGTTCAGATAAAAAATAAGACCCTATACTGCACAATCTCTCCTGTATGAAAACCATGAGTTAGGTCATGCCATTGCTGCTAGTTTGGTCCTTTTATCACAGAGGAAAGTTCTGTAATTGTAGATGTTAGGTAACTACATTTCTAACTCCTTGATGGTTTGATTAACTAAGTCTTTTAGGGCCATTGAGTGAAAATAGTGCCACCAAGGATTGGTTCTTCTCTTTGAAAGCATCTGCCAGTGTGAAATATCAGAAGCTAGCCTGCAGACTGCCCATTTCCTTTGCCACATGGACCGCAAGGCTCAAGTCTGCACCCTGTCTCGCATTCGACTGTCTCTGTGATCCTGCTCCGTAGGGTGCTGCTCCTGACTGATTCCTCCTGTGTTGCAGTGATGTGCTCGCTCTGCCCATCTTCAAGCAGGAGGAGCCCCAATTGTCCCCTGAGAATGAGGCCCGCCTGCCTCCTTTGCAGTATGTGCTGTGTGCTGCCACCTCCCCAGCCGTGAAGCTGCATGAGGAGACTCTGACCTACCTCAACCAAGGTAGCGGCTGGGACTTGGGGCTGGCAAGGGAGGCCAGGGCCGGCAGGGGGAGTCGGGAGTTGACCTGAACCTATGAGGGCCTCATTACCTTGTCATAGAGGGAATGGTGGGGTTTGGAAAGGAGGTTGTGGTGTCAAATAATCTGTATCTCAGCTGAGCTTCATTTTTTATCTGAAAAATGGACATTAACTGTGTTGTTTCTAGGGTCATACATGGGTAATAGGAACACTTGAATGGGAGCTTCAAGGAGCAGATGTTCAGTGACTGTAGTCACGTTGTAGTTAACACTGTGGCCACAACTGGTGTCTTTCCTGGACACAGGTGGGGCACTTTTGGTATACTGGATCTGTTGTCCTTTTTGGATCTGTGCTAGCAGTAATGGGAAGACCTGTCTTATCTTCCTAACACAGCACAAAGTCTGGTTTCCATATGTGCCAGACAGTCCTTTGTGATGATGGGACCTTGTCTTGGATGAATGGCATGGGCTTTGGAGTTTGAATCCCCACTCTGACATTTCCTAGCTCTGTGACTTTGAGCTATTTTTTCTTTTTCTGTAAGCCTCAGTGTTTTCCCGTGTAAAATGAGAAGTGTTAATTTTGCAATGTTGGAAAGAATGCAGGTGTGGAGGTGCCTGGTATGATAATGGCTGTTCAAGTGCTGATTCCATTTATCAAGCCACGTGCATCAGTGTCCCTAGGGATGTTGTTTTTGTGGTCTGTGGCTGTGTGTTTATTGCACTTCCTTCCTGAATTGCCTTGTAGACACCTCCCCCATTGAGTGGACTAAGTTTCCCTCTAATCTGAGGGAGACTAGAATACTGAGAGGCAGCTTGTCGTCATGGTTTGTCTGATGCAGGCTGCCTCTTTTCTAGAGAACTTTAACTCAATTTGGGGAGCAAGTGAGGATGCAAATCCCACCTGATCACCAAGGTTTCCTGACTACTGAGCTTGCCTTGCTCCTAGACCAGGGAGTCCACTTAGGTCTCTGGATGGAAACTGCTCCCCCTATTTGTTGATGTGGGGGCCCACTGGAAGGGCATGCTCAATTCTGTGAGTCGTTTGTGTCCCGGCTGATCCTCAACCCAAACTGCTCCATCAGCTGTAGGGTGCCTGACCTGGGAGGTCAGTGCTGCCCCATCTGCCAGTGCTGGTGAGCGCTGGTGATGGGTGAGGTATCTGGGCATGCTTCTGAGCAGAGCACTCTGGCTGGATTCTGGAAGGGCTTCAGTCATTTTCCCTTCTCTTTCATGGAAGGTTAAATGCTACTAACTTGTGTACCTTTGAGTGGTTGCTTTCCTCTCTGGGCCTCAGTGTAGAAGGAAAAACTGGATGAGGTTTCCAGCGTTGTTCCTGGCCCACCAAATTCATGAGGAAGGAGTGGCCTGCTGGCCTGCAGTTGGCCTGGACTGCTCCTGCTGCCATCTGGGAGGCCTGAGACTTTTCTCCCTACCTGCCCTACCCTCCTCCTCCCTGTTAATTTATCAACTTTGGACCATGTTTGGCTGTCAACAAACTAGATCTTTAAAAAAAAGATTTATCCTTTGCCCAATATAGATAAGTTAAAGAGAGGGGAAAAGTTGCCCTAAGCACCATCTGTTATTTTGGTGTATTTACTTCATGTATTTTTTTTTTAACTTCATGTATTTTTGAAATTACATTTTCCTCATTATTATGATGTTAATACATGGAATCATGAAATTATGGATCATTTAGAAAACTATAATGAAGACAATAAAAGAAAAATAAAACTGAATTGTCCTCTGATTTCATCTGAGAACCATTGCTAAACTTATTTATACATATTTGTGTGTACGTTTTAAAATTATGATCATGCTGTAGACATTATCTGTTGTCTTCATTTACTCTTTGTGATCTTTTCGCATGTCATTAAAAATCCTCTGAGAATTAAAATTTCTGTAATGATTTCATTCTTCTGTTTCTTCAATCAGTTTCATTGTTTGGGTTCTTAGCTTTCAGATGTTGACTTTGTGTGAACTATCGATTATTTTTATTTTTTACTCTGTGAAAGTTTATATATTTATGCAAGAACAGGGGTATAGGCCAAAGGTGTAGGGGGGTGAGAGGATTCATCAGAGACAGAGTGGGGAGCAGAATAGGCAGATTGACAAAATACACTGCTGAGGGGAGCAGCGGACAAGGAGAGAGGCGAGGTCTGCTGTACCATGGGTCAGCTTTCTGGCCGCCTGACCAAACTCTTGTTGCAGTGACTGGAGGTGATAGCTTGATAACAATGTCTCTAACCTCTGCTCCACCAGGAGGCCCTGTTGATTATTTCTGGATAAATAGCTTGGAAGTAGAATTACTGGATCAAAGGGGTTGAATAAGAATTGATATATTTTACTAAATTGCCTTTTCAGTAGAGCATATCCATTTGCATGTTAGCAGGGTACTTTTTACTGTCTCTTTTCCAATATTGGATATTATAATTTTTCATCGGATTAGGAAATACTAGTATTTAATTTCAAACAAGTATTTCTATTGTGAGTTTATTTTATTTTAGTTATTATTTTATTTCTATTGCTGAATATTTTGAAATATATTGATCACTTTAATTTTTCCATTGTGTTGATAATGCTTTGCATGTTTATATCTTACTGGTTCTAAGACTGGAACATAGGTGAAGAATATCAGTCTTTTAGCTACTATACATTGCAAGTATTTCCCCCTTCTGGTTGCTGGCTATTTAGTCGTATTTATTATTATATGATAACAGTATTTATTGAGTGGGATATGTTATGGTTTTTTTTTTTTTTACTATGTAGAAATTTATATTAAATGTCTGTTGTCAAATCTTTGTCTCATAGAATCCATTTTACTCTTAGAATGTTTACTCACCCTCAAATCAGCTTGGTTTCCTAAATTTCATTTAACGATTTCTAAATTGTAATACCAAAATGACTATGGAATGTTTGGGGAAAGTAGTAAGTAATCATTATAATATATATTATTTGCATTATTGCTACATGAAATATATGTATTCCTCCCTATTCCCAGCCTTACCAGTGAGATTTATGCTATTATGTTGCATTTGGAACTTATGATATGATATGAAGGTCTAAATTTATGTAATTTTCTAAATTACTGCCTAGGATATGAAGGTCTAAATTTATGTAATTTTCTAAATTACTGCCTAGCTTATCCTTTTCATATTTGTATAAAACGACACTTTAAAAAAAGATTTATTTGTTTTTGCATGAAAGATCTAGGGTGTAGGTCAGAGGTATAGGGGGTAGGTGAGAGGATTCACAAGAGCTAGAGTAGGGAGCAGAACAGGCAGATGTATGGGACATACACTGCTGAAGGGAGTAGCAGGTGAGACTGGAGAGGTCTGCCATGCCATGTGGGTCAGGTTCCTGTCGTGGGATTGAACTCATGCTGCAGTGGCTGGCAGTAGTTTGATAGAGATGTGTCTGTACTCCTGTGCCATCAGGGAGGCCCTAAAATGACACTTTTGAATTGTTAAAATATATTCTAAAATACTAGTCCAGAAACAGACCCTTGTATCATTTTTTTGGTCCCATTTCTCATTGAACTTAATGCTATAACTTGGAAATAATATGAATATTTCCCTGTTTGGGAATAGAAGTTGACCTTTCATCATTCTCCTTAACCATTCTCATTCATTCTTAGAGATGGATTTTATAACCATTATGTCTTCCTTTCTTACCTTTTAAAAAACATTGGTGAGGTTTCTGCTTAATAAAATTGTTTCTTGCTTTTATTAAGTACTATTTGTATATTAACTTTCTATTATTAAAGCTTCCCAAACATCATTTGAAATGTCTGAATATTATTTTACTATTTCTTCCTATTATTTAGGACAGAATATTGTCATTTGTCATAACTGCTAGAAGACAATATATAATGTAATTATTTTAGTATATTTATTTTTAACACTATATATAGCATTCAGCTTAGTTCTTTATAGTAGGTACCCCATTCAGATTATTTTAAAAATAGACACGATTTGTTTCCATTTTATTTTTCTTCTCTTGCCTCTTTCCTGCCTTCCTGTACATTAATGCTATACTGCATAGCAGCATACCTATTTAAAGTAGCTTATACTTATGTCATATGACAAATTAGTATAAATTCAGTTAAAAAGAGTGCTTTTGATGTGTCATTCAAAACCTTTTTCAGATAATGTTTGTTGCATTGGCCTTATGTTTACTGTACTATTTCTGAGGCCATTAATATCTTCTTTCTTGTAATGACTTGTTTAAAGTCTGAAACATGGGAGGCGTGCTGCATCTGTAAATGGAAAAGTCTTTTAAACCATTTGGGTCCTCATATCTCAGTGTAGTGTTAAATCATGCTTTGGATATCCTGTACCTTGGGTCAAAAGGTATATTACATATATGTGTGGTATCACTAAGGCCAGTGGTTAATTTTGGATGTGGTAAAAATGACCTGAAGAACAAAATATATTCTCTTCCTCCAAAATGGAGGTGGATAGGTCTTGAATGGATGTCTTCCTCCAAAATGGAGTCCTGAGGAAAAGAGGTAGATTAAATCTTTAATGGACATCTGCAAATTCCCAGATCCAGCTCTTTATGGGCAAAGGTCACTGAAGGAAGTTCTTTCTTGTAGGCTGGAGCCACAGGGAAGGGATGAAGTGGCTGGTGGGGGAGGTGTCTGAGAGAACAGAGGAAAGAGAACCCCAGGCAATGTGTTGGAAATTCTGGCTTTGAGATAACAAACAACTTTGCAAGAATGACTTGTTATGGAGAAAGCTTTGGTATTTCCTGTCAAAGTAACTTTTGAGTCTTAAAACATAGGAATGGATTTTTATAGGATTCTTACTTGGATTCAGCATAGAATAAAACCTTATTCTTTGGAAGGAGAGATTCAGTAAGTAGGGGGAAAAGTTGTGTATGATTGGGAAAAGAATGGGGTCAGGGGGAGGGGGCAGTGCAGTTTAAGCATAAGGTGTATCCCAAAAGTGAAGTGGTTCAGGATGACTAGTTTGGAACACAATGA